CAGACGTGTGCTCTTCCGATCTGCTCATAACAGTTATAAACCATCTATTAGACAAATCCATATTTCAGATAAGGTATTATTATCCAAAAGAAATATTTTTTATATTAATTTTGATATATTACACTATAATTATAATATACTAATAATTCTTTTAGTAGAAAGATGAAAGGCCAGATCCATCTACATTGCCTCCTTTATCTATATCTTTCCATTACACAATTTCTGTTATGAGCAAAAATAGCACGAGAATGGGATAATATGCGGCGGAGCAATTCTCATAGAGTAAAACACATCCTCCCCAAATAGGCATTAATCCGAGGTATGTTATAACACTACAAAATGCGTGATATCGCTACAAAATTGACTTTTAAAAAAAGTAAAAAAAGGGTGTCAAGTGTAAGCGCGCTCCTTGAAAAAAACTTGTTTACAAATTAAATATAATATTTTAAAAGATAAAACCTAAATGGTATCTTTCTTTGTACTTTGATGTTAACTAATTTTACTTTAGTGATATGTATATTGCTATTACCTGTATAAATGACTTGATATCAGTAAATGGCGTCAAGTTAAATAAAAATTATGTACGGTGTCTTATTATTCAATTACTATTACTTTTATAAAAGATTTGATATCTTTAAATGGCGTCAAGTTAAATAAAAATTATCTTATTCAATCTAAGTGATGTGTATATTGTTTGTATAAAATAATTGTTGTCAATAATTGACGTCAAATTATACTCTCATAAAATGATTACTTTACAATCCAAGCGACATGTATGTACAATGCAAAATAAAAAAATTAAATCTTAATGAAATAATTTTTATGTAAAAACACTTGGCGCTGCTAGACCTAATAAAAGAAGCAATAAGTAAAAAATTTTAAAGTAATAAATTTAATCAGAAATTTAAATTAAATAAAGAGCGCCGAGTTTTTTCATAAAAATTATTTTATTAAGATTTAATTTTTTCATTTTGCATTGTAGATACATACATGTCGCTTGGGTTGTAAAGTAATCATTTTATGAGAGAGTATAATTTGACGTCAATTATTGACAACAAATATTTTATACAAACAATATACACATCACTTAGATTGAATAAGATAATTTTTATTTAACTTGACGCCATTTAAAGATATCAAACCTTTTATAAAAGTAATAGTAATTGATTTTAGTTGTACGTTGCAACTGCTTTTCTAAGCAGAAAGTAAGACTCGTCGCCGATCCGTCGCTACAGTCAGGGCAAAATATAGTCGCGATTCAGATGATTCATAATTACACGACAACCGAAAACACAAAGTTGGACGCCAGGTACGAGCAGACGTGCCACCCTTCGAAATAACTGAACCGAGTTACATACGTGAAATATCCGCTAGAAAACGACATGAAAAGGCTAAATGACGCTCGAAACTCTGACTGCCACGATCGGTGGACGATCCTGATGACCGGTAACTCAGCCCCGAATTTGGCAGAGGGGCGGTTCGTAGGAGCGCAAAGGAATGCGGGAAAGTAAGGGCGTTATCGAAAACACAAGAATTTAGCAACAAGTATAATTGCGTAGCATACAAGCGTTTCGTCGGGTCGCGAATGGCGTAGCGAATGGCAACTGTTGATATTCTCGACAATGACGAGGTTCACTCGTCAGGGAAAGCTCCCTTGACTGACCGGTGTACGAGCTCTTCGTTAATTCGCGGAATATAATGTCGCGGCACGCGAGAAGTACGCCCACGGCGTAATGGCCGATTACACGCCACGAGGAGTCGCGATATTTTCGAGGTTGCCGAAAGCTCGGCACGCTAACAACGCAACAAACCGTACAAATTCACAACGCAAAATAACACTTAAATACGCGCAAATGACCCGGCTGTGGTAAGGCGAGCGCAACGGCGACTACTCTAATTCGCGTAACTCTTGTCGAACGGATGGCGCGATACCCAGACCCTACTCGCGGACACACAATTACACACGGACGACGGAACTTTCGTAGCGCGATCCGCCCGACAACGAAACCGGCAATCGAATAATGCAATTAGGCGACGTTCGTCTCATTAAGAGCGGCAGCTAAGGTCTTGTCTCGAACCCTTGTACGGCATTCGGTAGCTAATACGGGATCCTGCGTCCTTCCCTGACAATGACCACAGCTCAAGTGTCGTTCGGTAATCCTTCCGGCAGCACGCAGGCCGCGAGGTGTCACAGGATCGGTTGATAACGCGCTAATTGGCCCTTGCCCTGCGAGCGCGACGCCCGCGAATCACGGCGTCGCACATAATCGAATCGCCCGCAATCGGCGGCGCGAGCTTCAAATTTGGCCCGACTTTTCCGGGCCTCGGGTCCGCGACATTCTCGGCTATCCTGCGACCGGGTGCTTGTCTGCCTTGTTCTCGTACGTTTCGCCGTCGACAACCGGGTAAGTCCACCGCTTCAACGCAATGTCCTTTCGTCACGGCTTTCTTCGGCATCGAACAGCGGTTGCGTCCGGTCGGTAGCTCCCCTGTGTCTCGTTACTGGTTGCTGAAAAAAATCGACAGCACTAAAGGGCTCGCAATAAAGGGCACTAGTATTAATATCTATCGTAACGATCGTAATTGACCTGCGTGCTCCGTGTTTTCCACGACGAGCCAGTCGTCCCGATGTCGGTGTTCTCCTTCTCCTTCTCGCTGTTTGGTGGAGATGACGAGTTTTTACACGCGATATTTGGCTACGCCGATTTCTACCTACTGTCACGCACAGGTGGAAAGACAAGATTAAATAAAGCGCGTAAAAATATAATACGAAAACGCACGCGCGCGGATACGCTCGCCTCCCTAAATCGGGGAGGACGCAGGATCTGAAACCGCGCTTCCTCGATCGGATGTTATGGCCCTTGTGACGGATGGCCGAAAAACATTACGTCACAATGTATATCATGTATATGTATGTAAAAAGATCATAATACTTGTATATGTGTTTATCACGAATATAACATTATAATAAAATATTAAACTAATAATACCTGTGCTTTTGCTTATAAAAATCTTTTCATTCCACCACAAAAAATACTTGAATTGAGAATAATGTACGATTCGTAACGTTATACAAACTCTTTTTGCAAGAATAAAATAAGATTTTTTTTTTAAATCAGTGTATTCTTATATCAAGAATATTACGAGATTGCTACAAATTTCTACGTTGTCTAATCTAAGAAAATTAATGAGATATCATCAAGATTATTTTATTGTTGATTTTAAAATATTTTCATTTAAGAATAAAATATTCTTTTCTCAACATAATTATGATTGTCCCTATATCAATTATTTTATGACAAGGAAGAATTATCAGCATTAGATACAGAAATTTTTCTGTGGGTGCGCGCCTCGTCGCCGTTACGTGGCCGATCACGCGGACCAATAAAGTTTAGGAAGTGGTAATTTTGGCCATTTGTGGGGGGTCGTTGTCACTGGAATTTAGGCATTCGTCTTTTAATTAAATTAACGAAAGCATCTCCAACACGGATCTAGAATCGATACGAGGACTCAGGGTGTTCAATTCGTTCGCCCCCAAGCGTTGTCCCAACACGACTTAAAACAATTGCTCGTCCCTAAGCGCTGTCGTGATTTCAATTATATTTACATGTTTCGATTCAAGTTTGCAATAGTAATAAAGCTTATATTTATACAAAGACACGCGTGTGGATATTGATTTGTTCCACCGATCTATAAAACATTTTGGTGTTTCCTGTGAGGTCTCGTCGATATAAATGTGACGGTGCGCTTACGTTACGGCACGCGCGTCTGGCCCGCACGCCGGGCCCGCGCGCCCGCCACGTGACGAGAGTGGTGCGCGGCGCCACCGCTAGGTGCCGCAGGCGCCGCTACTTTTCTCGTAATTAAAATTCACCCACGCCTGCTATATCTATGGCTCCGTGAGTGGTCTCCGGCACGTTCTTTTGCTCTCAGAGTGGTGTAAGCTTGCGTAGGCCATCATTCTGAAAGTATTTTGGTGTACCCAGCGACAGAGCGAGCTCGGTCCCTTGCAATCGAGAGAAAGCGGGAGTCCCGGCCTCTCGATTCAAGGCACGCACCAGGCGTCTGTATCCTCGCGGTCTCATCCCGAGTCCGCCCATCCGGGCCACTTTCGCCGATTCCACGAGGAGAAGCTCCGCCACCACGCCGCGGGCGTGGAAAAGGGGACCACCTTGTCCCCTCGAGGTGAGCAGCCGCTCGTCACCGCGGGAAGCCCCAGCGACCGACGAGACTCCCGAGAGCCGACCTGACCCGGGAGTAGCTTTCCTCCCGGCGTCTGACGCCCATCGACGTCACCCGGCCGGCTGCGCAGCGACCCTCGGACCCTCGACCCGGCCAGTGGTCAGCCGAGGGACACAGACCGAGGAGGTCATCACACCGCCTAGTCCGCCGGTCAGGACGCCGACGAAGCCACTGACACCTGGGCGTTCGAAGCAACACAGTCCGACGAAGCCGCTGACACCCGGACGTCCGAAGGGTCCTTCCGTCCGGACATTCCGCACGCCGAGCCACCAGCCAACGACACCGTCAAGGCGCTTGCGACCGTCCGGGTCCCCAGGACGGTTCGCGGACCTTCTTCGGCGGATCGCGCAGGCGTCTCCGGACCGCACCAGATTGAGATCGGTGATCTCAATCCCGTTGAGGCCAATCCCGCGGTTCCGGCGCAGGCCCTTCGTACAAGACCGAACGAAGGCCTTCTTTAGCGCATTGGAAAGGGAGAATCTTCTGCCTCACCGGCGCTAACTTTCGCACCTCTTGGCGCGGGCACCTTCGGATGCCACCCGACTTACTTCCTATCTCTCCTTGGAGACAATCCATTTACGAATCTTACACTGACATTTCCTACCCTTGTAAATATCCAAAATATATCCAAGCTGTTAATTATAATCGGAGTCATTTGTGGATTACTTTTCATTGCGCTCCTTCTCCTGATCTCCTATCACCACCTACGTCCACATAAACAACCGAAACACAGTTCAACGAAAAGCCAGAGAGAGATTGGTCATCGACAAGACCATTGAGAAAGCAGCCAGCAATCTTCCCAGTTTCCACCGCCTTCTAGAACTTCGAAATGATAAGCAGCAGACCGCGCGCCACACGAATTGCCAATTAACGTGAGCCAATCCATCTTATTTCCGACACATATATTATAATGTCTAATAGAATCAAATTTCTGTTACAAAAACGAACATCCTTAAAGTCCCAAATCACCGTTATCTCAAATCTTCTCGACCAAAGTAGATTAGATAACGTCACATTGAAACTACGCAATGCTCGTTTAACGGATCTGTACCACGCGTTCAAGGAACATAATGATGAACTCTTTGTGCTTGATTTGAACGATGCACGTCAAAGCGAATTTATAAATATTCAAGAACGATTTTATTCGCTCGCGGGTAAAATTGAAAATTAATGTCGCGAATACATTCACGGCTGGCATTTCAAGTGATGACACTCGGACAATGCTCCGACGGAACCCGCGGTAGTTATAAAGAAACGTCGTATCAAATTGCCTGATGCGCCTCGATCTGCCCACGTTGGTAATTTCGAGTGTTGTTATTTAAAAACGCCTTCAACAACATGATAGGATTACAGATAGATCTGTCCGACATCGATAAGTTACATTATTTAAATTCCGCGTTGATCGGAGACACCGCTAATAAAATAAAGATCCTCGAAGTGGACGGGATAAATTATGCTAAAGCGTGGGAGTTATTAGAACGCACTTACAAAGTCAAATGGATATTAATTTCACGATATTTATTGCTAATTTTAAACTTGCTGGTATTAGAAAAGGAGACCACAAGTGGATTATCTAAGCTCACGGACGACGCTCAACAGCACGTCGCATCGTTGAATTCTCTGAGAGTATCCGTTAATCCGGAAATAATTGTGCACGTGTTAGAAAGCAAGTTACTGAAAATTACGTTGGATAAATGAGAAGCGGCTCTTAAAAGAGAGGAATTTCCAAAAGTTGATCAAATGTATGAATTCGTATATAAGGCCGCGGTTTGCGCATCAAAACGCGAGAGAGCCAAGGCAGTCGATTCAGATAAGGGAAAAAACGAACCTCCTACAAAAAAGAAACGAAGTCATCCTTCAAATCAAACGTTCATACTAAACACTTCACGTAATTGCCCGGTATGTAAAAATAAACGACATTCTCTTTATCTATGTGACAAATTTAAGCAATTATCTGTACCCAAACGCATCAAAGCTGTAAAAAATACGAAACTGTGTTATAATTTTTTGCGTTCCCATCGGAATAGTGCAAATTTTCGAGCTGCACGATTTGTCACACAACACACTACTGCATCTAAATAGATTTGCAAATACGATTAAATCAAACACATCGGGTATCGAGTCTAAGAACAATGACAAAACATCATGAGTAGAACACGCGCACGGCGATCGAACACGAACCTCGTAATGATTTTACATTTCTTTACCCCACAGTTTACTAACAAGCGCATTAGTTTATATTTATGACTGTAAAAATAACCCTGTTGAATACCGAGTTTTGCTGGATTGCGCCACTACAAATTTTATTTCCGAGTCTATCGCGAAACATCTGGGCGTGTCCATAATTACACATTCATTATCGATCGGTGCAATAAATGGCAAGAATACGGAATCGAAGGGTATAATACAGATCACAATACAATCGAAACACGACAAATTTCGTAAAGAATTAACATGTTTAACGATGACTATCGTAGATCTAATTTCATTCGAGATCTTCCCACAAGAGTTGATTAAAATACCTTCGAATATTAGAATAGCCGATTCGGAATTTCATTTGCCACGTCCAGTCGATTTACTAATTAGATCCGGATTAAAGTTAGCATTATTTTCTGTCGGTCAGATAAATTTATCACGCGAGGATCGTGAGTTGTATTTACTAAAACACGACTCGGTTGGGTAGTTGCCAGTGGCGCGTCATTGCAAAGTGTTACTTCTAATTCGGAAGGGACAGTATCAGGATCTCCAACAACACTCGTGGCTCAATTATATCAAGAATATTTATTAGAATAATATCAAAACGTGGATATATGTCTCCGTATAAATATGTTGAAAACGTTAAGAACAAAGAAGAATGAGCAAGCATCGAATCTCTAGACGGGCATGTAACAGCACAACCTCTTGGCGTAGTAATACATTGATAATTAAAAATGAAACCGCTTGTCTTCCAAAAATCCCTGGTCTATGTTACTGCCACCTACTATAGTAATTTCGAACTTCGTCTACACAAGGGTTGTCGAAGACAACGATATGCGGATTAACAAATTTAGAAAATCAAATAACTAAATTTTGGACAATCGAGGAAATGGCAAGAGATAAATCAACGGAAGAAATGCGAGACATTTTTTAAGAACAGTTTCTCGCGACGACTGTGGACACTACACAGTCCATTTACCGTTTCGCAATTCGAATATACGGCTTGGCGAATCGAGAAGCGTAGCTCTCAAGCATTTAATGTCATTAGAACGCAAATTAAACGCAAACGCGACATTAAAAACGGAATATACTCGAATCATGGAAGAATACTTAAATTTGAAATACATGTCCCTGATAGAAGATCCCGAAAAGAATGGTGAAGGATATTATATACCTCATCACGCGGTCATTAAGCAATCAAGTAATACCACCAAGGTAAGAGTAGTATTTGATGCATCAGCCAAAACAACTAACGGCAACTCACTAAACGATATGCTAATAATCGGGTCAACGATTCAGAATAAGTTATTTTCGCATCTAATCCGGTTTCGCGTATACAGATACATCATTACTGTAGACATTGAAAAAATGTACTTGCAGGTACTGTTGCATCACGAAGATGCGACAGTATCAACGCATCTTATGGCGTAGAAATGATAAAATCGAAATCTTTTAGCTCAACACTCTCGCATTCGGAATCTCTTCTTCGCCCTTCCTCGCAACCCGTGCTATTAAAAAATTCGCAGACGATGAAAAAAGTACATATCCTAGAGCGACTGAGATTATTGAGTCACATCTATACGTAGATAATTAGTTGTCGGTGCAAGCAGCATTAGTGAAGCGCAAACGATTAGAGATGAAATAATTGCATTACTTGCTCGGGGCGGTTTTGTCATAAGACAATGGGCTTCTAACGATAAACGGGTTATCTGTGATTTAACAACCAACATAGTACACGCGAATCTTACGTTCAATTTGAATTATTCATTGAAATCGCTGGATATAAAATGGAGTTTTACAAGGACAAAATACGCTATTCAACGCATTCGGTCGAATGTAATGTAAGGTTGACAAAACGCAATATACTTTCTAAAATTGCAAAGATCTTTAATCCGTTAGAGTTGTTAGTCCTGTCGTTTTATATGTAAAAAAATTGATGCAAGATATGTGGCGATGTGAATTACATTGGGACGAATCTGTTCCTCAAAGTATATACACCGAGTGGTCACCATTCACAAAACAATCAGAATTAATAAATCAAATTTCATTTGATCGAAATTTATTAATAGACAATTATTCCAATGTTCAAATCCATGGGTTCTGCGATGCCAGTAACGTCGGTTACAGAGCATGCTTATACGTGCGTTCAATCGGGAAACATGATGATACGATTGTCAGGCTATTATGCGCAAAATCTTGCGTCGCGCCTCTGAAAACTGTTACAATACCACGACTCGAACTTTGTGGAGCGTTGTTACTGGCGCGATTATATCACGAAACAAAGGAAGTACTAGGCATTGTTCCGAGTAAGACAGTTTTTTGGTGCGATTCCACCATCGTGTTGCACCGGACAAGAACGTTACCCCATCTTCTTAAAACTTACGTTGCAAATCGTGTCGCGGAAGTTCGAGATTTCATTGCGGCCAGTGATTGGCGACATATCCGTTCGGAAGATAATCTCGCGGGCGCAGTTTCAAGGGATCAGTTGCTTCATGCGTTTGTGCAGAATCATATATGGTTCACAGGACCTTCTTGGCTAATCAGAGATGAGACCGATTAGCCTACCGAGATTACAAGGACCATTGAGATACTAGAATTGAGAAAGGATGTCTGTTTAACAACCGTTCACAATAATGTTGAAATGTTCGAAATATATTCCTCGTATTCCAAGTTGCTCCGAATTACTGCGTACTGTCTTTGTTGGCGGCCTGTTAATAAATTCATCGGTCCATTATGCGCGAATGAAATCAACGAATCGGAAATACGAACGTTAAGAATTATTCAAGTCATGCGTTTTCCGGATGAGCTTAAAGAACTTAAGAACAATAAAACTGAATGTAAAGGTAAGATAGCTAACTTATTGTTAGACCCATTTCTAGATGAGAATGAGTTGATCCGCGTTGGGGGACGATTTCGAAAATCGAAATTAACATTTTCACAAAAGCATCCGATATTACTTCCGAGTCGTCATCACGTAACTGACAGCATCATTCACGAAATCCACGAAAATCACTTTCACGCTGGTATTCAAATAACTCTTTACATTCTACGACAGATATTTTGGCTTTTTGATGATCGGAATCAAGTGCGGAGAGTTATACGCGCGTGCATGCATTGCGCTCGATTCGATGATAACACTGTTGAATATAAAATGGGCAATCTTCCACCGACGCGAGTACGTGAAGCAACACCATTCGCTAATTGCGGCATCGACTTTTGCGGCCCATTTTATATTAAAGAAAAGAAATATCGTAATCGGGCACGAATTAAGGTTTATGTATGAATGTTTGTATGCCTGTCAGTAA